CAAAACTGATATTGGTGTTCAGCGACCTAAACCCTACACAAGAACCAAATATAAAAACATCAAAACTTTCCATTTATTTTCCTCCATTTTACTAGATTATCTCTTAAAAATTGAAAGTGAATGTGCAAAAGATATAAAAATATTCCGATCTGATTAAGATGTTCAAAGGAGAAGCAGAAGATAAGGTTCTGGCCTAATCTCTGAAGAAAATAAATTAATACTACAATACTTGACTACGCTTATTATATCAGTGACGGCAGAAGAGATCGTTTTCGGCCCTAAGTAGAATGAAGTCTTACGTATAAAAATTTATTCCATGGCCCAAAACATTTGATGTCGCGGGGTCGGGCACGACAATTGCTTAACAACTCAATTCCTCACTGCCGCAAAGACCTTTGGTATGAAGTTAAGAAATCATAACATATAATTGGAGGAGTTCATATTTTTTTGTAATTAGTAGTAGATGAGAGAAGAATGGCGTAATATGATAGGAACAGAGCACTCTACTAAGTAGGACACCTGGTGACGACATGGGATAAGTCTACATATTCATTTTCTAGGGAAGAAACAGCATATCTTCCGCCGCATATTCTTGTGCTTCACTGTCTCACATCTTTTCCTCTCACAGCTTCAACCATGACTTCAACCTCGCCTTTCCTAGAGTTCCATATCGCCTGTGTCCTCGGCAGTTGTATTTTTTTCTTTTACACATTAGATTTTGCGTCCTTTAAATACGCGACAATACGGTTCTCCGCATTGCAAGCCTCGGATAAAAAGTTTCACAACGGTGATGCAACATGGCGCAAAATTACACCCGGTGTTTCGCGGAACCGCTGCGACCGCCCCTTGTCGTGCGGTTTACGCCGTGTCCCGTCTGGGAGGCATCGGTGCGAGTGGTGACGCATTGGCGACGTCATCGTTCTCCCGAAAAGATGACGTCGTGACGTCACACACGCGACGCTCAAGGCCAGCTTTAAAGCTGGCCTTGCGTGACGCCCCTGTTGCTCGATGCACTGACAGTATTTTCCTCAAATGTTACGTGGAATTTATCCAAAAATGATTTTTGAAATTAAAGTTTGTCAAGAAATGATAAATGATTGATTGATTAATTGGTGATTCCGGACGTGACAACTGCTAATATCGTTAGTTTCATAAGTGTAGTGCATTTTTATCGCGGGATATTGCCGTGATCTGCCCCGCCCCCCGAATAGCGGGATCCGGCGCCGAGAGATTTTCCACATTCAGGTATCTCCCACCAGCGTCGCACCGCCCCAGTCGGTACAGGTTCTAAGCTTCCGACTTGACACCCGACAACTGCGATGCATGTGTGTGTGTGTGTCTGTAAGTAAGGGACAAGGATAGGTAAGTAAGGGATGAGGATAAGGAAGGGGATGGAAAGATCGCGCGCCGTCCGCGACCCGTACGCTAGGGTACTGCTCCATCATTCGCCTGATGTTGATCGGGGGAACCACAGAAAATACCGTGTTCTGTGGAAAGCTAAGACCGATGCACTGTCGGGATTCGAACCTCAGTTAAAGACAGGTTTTCGTGTTCATTAAAAATGTCAAAAATTGGTTTTCGTTTGTGCTAATTAATCATTGCTTTACAAATCATGCCTGCATGTGACACTGTAAAGATTAATATAGGTTCCCATGAGGAACATAGTGGGTGCTCAGCGCGGATAGTCGAAAGCAGCATTCCTTAAAGCAGGAAAAAGCCCCCGCAAGCAAAAAACAACATTGTTCAGTCGCCGATCCGGTTCGACTCGGACCGAAGGATCGCGGGTTCGAGTCCCGCCTCGGACATGGTTGTATTGTGTTTCGTCCTTTCACCCCCTACCATCATCATTATCGTGTCAACCCACAGTTACCATACCGTTACAAGCAATAGTGGTCGCTAATGACCTAGTAGTTGATGCGACCTTAAATAAAAAAAATAAAAATTAAAGTAAAAAAAAACATTGTTCAACAAATGAGCTGGTGTAATTTTCTAAATAGATATTTAAACATCACTGGTAAAAACCTTTCAGTCAAATGCTGTTTGTTCGGATGCAATGCATTCTATTATGCATTAATATCTAATAAAATGTAATATTACATCGCTCTATGTGTTTGAATTTAATAAAAAAACTTTATTTTCAATTGCATATCGTATCTTCAAATTTTATTGCTTAGTTTTGTAAACGTTATCCCAAGACTTTCTCCATTGAGACCCAAAAAGGAAGGTTTTTTTTTTTTGCCAAGTAGAGGAAGGGGATTTCAGTAATCGCTAAAAACACTCGAAAGCCCCCAAAACAAATGCCGCACGCCGCTCTCGTCACAGTCGCGACTATCGCGGAGGGTGCCGCCTTTTGGGGTTCATCTTGCGGCGAACTGGAGCGAACCATCCGCGCACATATGCTGCCTTCCGATAGGGATGGGAAGAACCATCGAGTGTAATCAAAACCCATTTGCTTTCTTTTTCTTTCTCGCGTACTACTTATATAGTATAGAGAAAATAGTTTTAGAGGACAAAGTTTTACTTTGACACAAAGCTAGTTTAGTGAGTATCTGATTCCAAACAAAGTGGATAATTCTTGTTGCTATTTATTTACTCGGAGTAAATTACATTCTCTAACACGTTTCATAGTCAGATTCCACGTTTTTTTGTCCTTGACACTGAAAAATTGTTTTCCGCAAAACGTTCGGCCGTCCATTTATCCTTGTGGCCAAGCACAAAGTTCCCAAAAGTTTGTTTCTGTTGTGTACGTGAAGTGTAAGTAAGGGGTAAGGATAGAAAGAAAAGATCACGCGCGGTCCTTGGTCTGTTTGTTGCAATAGTGTTCCAGCATTTGCCTAGTGTTGGTCGGAGGGACTGCAGAAAACTACCGATCGAGCAGCCAGTCACTGATGGAGCCACAACTACCGATGGAGCAGATTTCTCTCCCAGACAGCGGCTTATCCCGATCTAGCTATCTAGCTAGCGTCGAAAATCGTGCCACAGTCGGGACTCGATCCTTAGGACCTTCCAGTCAGAGGTACTTCAATGACATCCTATCTCTCTGAGCCACATTTGACGAAAAAAAGAGTTGCATGTTTTTCACATGATATGGGGTCGCTTGTACTAACACCCTATTTTGCGAAAAACACTTTGTTCTAACTGTGCGTGGTTCGATCAGGCCTGCTTCTTCAGACCCAACAGGAGAAAGGTGATAAGTCCAGCTGTTGTGGCAGATTTCGTTCTGGTTTCATGAAGGTTAATTGTAGAATTCTGCATCAGTGATACACCTTTCCACGAATTCCCACACGCCGCCGCCGCCGTCGCCACCGCCGTGCCTCCGTCGTCGTCATCACCGTCATATCCAACCAGCGCTAACCCCGGCGACACACCCGCCGACGTCACAGCCACAACGGTCGCCGCCACCGTTGTCACTGTCATCGCCATTGCCCCAGACATCGCCAGTAGTGTCGACGTCACAACTGCCGACGTCACAGTCAGAGCTACTGTTTCCGCTGCCGCCGCTACCACTGTCATCGTCATCGGCACAGCCTCCGACAGCGCCAACACCGACGTCATAGCTGCCTACGTCACAGCTGCCGCCGCCGCGGACGCCGCCGCCGCCGCCGCGGACGCCGCCGCCGCCGCCGCCCCTGCGCTCACTCCCGCCCACCCGCTCGCCGGAGTCTATAAAGCAGTGCCCCGCCCCGCACGCGGCCAGTGGGCTCCCTTCCTCAACCGGAGCAATGCCTTGCTTCCAATACCCGCTTCAACAGGCGCAGCAAGCGCCAGCGGTGCCGGAGGCCGCGGCGCAGCAAGCACCGGGGCCGCCCGCGGAGCAGTGCAGCTGCGCGTGCTCGTGCGGCAAGAGGAGCCAGAAGCCGCCCGCGCTCTTCGTGGACGACGACTTCCCCGCGCGCTGGCACGTGCTGCACGACCCCAGCGTGGCCGCCGCCTGGCTGCGCCCGCACGTGAGTCCCCACATGCCTTCCTGCCCGACTGCACTCACCGAGCTGAAGAGGGCCCCATTCAAAAATTCTAAGTTCCTCCTCACCCACGCCCTTCGGCGGGGCGAAGCACTCAGCTTGTAGTTCAGGATTATTTCCCTCTGAAATATATTTAGAGGTTATTTTTAACGCATTTAAGAAATATTTAAAGAGAATAATGTTATAGTTATGCATGTACCTAGTACTCCAAGGGAGTATGGAAGGAAAAGGCCGAAAGATACGTGGCAATAGTAAAGCCTAGAAGTTGTTAAAGACATTTAGGAGGAGCGTGACAATGTTTTTTGTTATTATAAAACTATCATTACAAAATTTCATAATTATCACTTTGAAAATATTACACTAGACGAACTGGCAAAACCGCCTCTAAAGATGACTTTGAGACCAAATAGTTGAACGAATTCGTAACCAATTATTTACAAAAATATCAGGATATTTCCAAGAAAATCTTCAAAATCAATATTTTTGTGCCACTCTAAAGAAAGTCTCATGCTCAATTGAATCGACTTCAAATTTGCAACTACTCGTAAGAAAACGTAAGATTTTTGTACATGAGGAATTAATGAAGACTTATTTTAAAGACGTATCTTGGAATAAGGTCATATCAATTGTTTTTTAAAATATGAGTAGTTTTCGCGCAGTTTTGTGTGAAATATAAGCACTTTTAATTTTTTAAGAACAATTTTTTTTCTCAAAAAGGGTCCAATTTTTTTCATTAAATTTTCTTTTCGTGTATATCAAAGAACAATAAAAAATTGATGTTCTTCACATTTCCGGCGAGCTTTTCTTTTTCGGAAATTGCAACCGAAACAATTAAAGGAAACTGTTCAAAAATAGAATTTGTTTATAATTATTACTCTTTAACTTATACATTAGTTTCAATTTGTACCTGTGAATTTATAAAAAAATACATCTAACCGATATTTTTAAAAACATCGTGACAGTTTTGGGACTCGTATAGAGGATTTTTTCTTCAACCGCAACTCTGGGCATGTTGTGTAAGTCATTTCCATGTTCAGTAATGAGAAGAGAAAATTGCGTGGGTGGGTAAAGGCGAAGGTGTCTTGTGCGCAGGAGATCCGCCAGGAGCCGCGCCTCTTCGTGGAGAACTGCAACCGCTTCGCCGTGCAGCAGGGCTGCCTCAGCGACGGCTGGTTCATTGCCGCCTGCGCCGCCGTCGCCGAGCGCCCGCACCTCTTGCGTCAGGTGAGCCCCCGATCACATACAATCTCTGCGACGACCGTTCACAACAACTTAATCGATATATTTCATCGATACATTAAAAATCGCTCGTTACTGATACTTCTACTTGTCTTGGCAGATTCTTCGAATTTTGCTTGTGATTAATGCAATTAAAGTATTTCTGTTTAACGCCTTTGGCCACATCCATTATTACCGACTCCCTGTGGGTGAGTGTCCATAAGGGAGAGACACCGCGGTACCTGTATTCCAATTTAAACAGAGGGGCACTTCAAGGAGGAAGAGGATGGGGAATCTCAATCTGAATCACAATCTGGAAGCAGATGGGGACATCCAATCGGGAGCTCCAATACCAAACATTTAGTCGAAAGAAGCTTCCGATTGGATAACATTGTCCCCCTCTCCATTTAGCTCGTAACTGTGTTTAAATCGAAGTATAAAGCAGTGGTGAATTTATTTGTCCTTGACAATAGGTCTTGTCAGTGGGAGCCTATTGGCTAAAACCCCTACTCTTGTAGAAGGGGTTTTAGCCAGAAACCTCATCACAGCCAGCGACTCCCCGATTTTCCCCTGTTTGGGGTATGTAATGCAAGATGCTGGCAAATGGGAAGCTTTTTACAGCTTGAACGGTATTAAACCTAGGAGATAAGTCTCGGATTTCAATTTTTTCCAAGAAATATATTCAACTACTGGCCTCCAGTATCAAAAATTCTGCTTAACAATACCCTTGTAAAATGTTTTTCCGAAATGTAGTCCGTAAACTGTCCAAAAACAATTAACAAAATATTCTCGAATAACATTGCAATAAATTGTATATTTTAATCGTAGTACCTTTCACGAATACTTCAATAAAATAGTATAGTATAAAGGTTATTTACATTGTAAGAATATAAAAAATAGGTCCTGTTTCATAATGCAACCCGCAAATAGAAAACATTTAAAGGCAGACGACCTACTCTTTGGAGTTTTGCTGTCGCATAATGTTAGCTGTAATGTTTGCTGTGATGCACTGAATATATGGATTCAGTCGCTACGCGTAGTATGAGAATAGGCGGAATGACACTATCACATATTTCCTTTTTCTGTCCAAATCGAAATTGGTTCATTGTTGTTTTTTTTAAGTTTTCCGGAGTTCCTGAGTATCTGACGAGACTACAGATAACTGACACATGGCCGAAGGCTGCATAGTTTTATCTCAATTTCTGCGCGCCTAGGAAGTTAGTAAAATAGAATTTTAATGAGGCGAGAGATGTAGATATCCGCATAAAGAGTGATGGCAGTTAAAGTCTCCAAGAATTATGAAGGGCTCTTTTATCTTGTTTATAATATCATGCATTTCAATTTCTTGAAGTGAGTACCTATTACGAATATAAACATTTCCGATACATATGGGGTTAGTTGAATTAATTTTAATTGCCACAAATTCCATGTCAGTTTGTTAAGATACGAGGTAGTGGAATGTCCAGAATTTCAATGGGAATCGATTTTTGGCATATATTGCCATACCACAACATGCATATTCAGGATTACTTCTATTTTTAAAGGTGCAAGTGTATCCAATTATATTCCCATGTGTTTTTCCTTTAAAGTTTGTTTCTTATATACAGATTATATCTGGGCGATGTAGTTTGCATAAATATTATAAGTTTTCTAGACTGCTGTAAAAGCCATTTAGTTTCCATTGCAGAACTATCATAACTTCTTTCTATTATATTCAGATGTATCAGTATGATTTAAATTTTATAGAATGATCTGAATAAGTACGTACAGTATTTAAGTACTGTCTAAACTGATTTCTGAGTCTGAGGTCTCTCTGCTGGGAATATTATTTTCTGTTTTTTAATAATTCTTGTAAATCTACCTTTTATAGATCTTTCATTCAAAAGTTTATATGTTTCTTTGTATATGTGCATACCAATTAATGCATTAAAATCAGTTGAATAATCTTTCATTATAGGAATGGGGTCAGGTGCTCCAAAAGTGTTTTCAAGGAATGATTTGAATTGGATGTATGAGAGAGGAAGTTTGCCTTGGTTGAAGTCAATATAGGTTTTGGTTGGGAGCTGATCTTCTATTGACTTGTTAATTAAATTGTTTTGAGAAGCAGGTTCTTCATTTGCATTTTTGCTCTCTTCTTCTTTGAGGGTTTACAGCCTTTGTCTTTACATTTTACATCACTAGTTGATATATTCTCATGTGTAGAGGATGATTCAGATGGGAGGCTTCTTTTATTCATATGAGGGAAGTTTGTATAGTCCATATCAATCGAGCCAGATGGACTATCACCTGGTTGTTCAGTAGGGGGAATCTCTATTAAAATATTATTATTGTTATCTGTTGCTCTATTTATAATTGGTGAAAGGCTAATGTTATTAATTGGGCACTGGCTGGCAATATGGCCTTCATTTTTGCATTTGAAACAGGTGATATTATCAGTTTTGAAAAATAGTCTATATGTTGTATCTTCAAATGAAATTAGAAGTGATTGTGGTAATTTACGTACTTCATCTGGGTGAACAAAGACTTGTCGCCTGAAGCTCATAATATGAGACATGCCTGGTTCAGGTGGATCTGCTCTAATAAATGTAATATTGGAAAATATTTGAATCACACCATGTGGGATAACTAAGCATACATTGGATATTATAACTCTTACATGTTTGCTTAATAGGGGTCTAACACTTACTTCAATGTCATTAATAGTGAAAGTTTGATGGTTATCTGTTAGGTAGTTAGCGATTTTCTTGGTACTTTTGGTTGGGAGTTGATACTAAATCACAGTTTTGTTTATATGTACACCAAATAAGGTATTAGAAGTACTGCCGAAAGCACACGCGAACGGAGCATACGATGTTGCTAGTACCGCGGTCCGCCGTCGACTGAAAAATAATCTTGTTAACAGTGGAAAGCACATATCTGAGGCTATGAAACCCGTTGAGAAGGACGTTTGCTAATTAATTAAAAAATATTCATTTTATGAGGCCGGAGGTGTAACAATGGCCACTATAGAAAAATCGACGTTTAAGACCTGATTGCGCAAGGTGGTGGCTAGGGACGAATCAAGCCGGTTCGTAACCGCACCGGGAAGAAAGAAAAAAATGGTTGCGTACAGCCACTAAGAATAGCGATTTAGTAACTGCACGCAATCGACTGTAGTTGGCAAATTGGATCACTAGGTGTGCACCAGCAATTTTACCAACAGTTTTACCGCAAATTAGTTATGCGTATGTACATTAGAGATATGTTTTGTCACGTGTTGCAGAAGTTTGCAATATAATGAAATCGCTTGAAAAAAATCTTGTTTTATTTCACTAACATAAGAGATTGTCATGTTTAACAATGCATTCACAACAGCTCAACAAGGTTATACTTAATGAATGTGTGAAATTAATTACGAATATGACAGTTGTATGCGGTGATTTTGTTTTTAATAGATTGAACATTCAGCACGGCGAATTTCATGCAAAACACTGTTACCATTCGAAAGAGCACGAAACAGATACACGGTAATTGATAGTTTATTTCAGTAACGTACGTTTTGGTGATGAATTGAACACAGCCAGCAAGACATATCTAACACCAGTTTGTAGACTACAATCGCATGTAACACATTCATCTCTATAATAAACAAACAATTTTGATGCGTTGTAATGAATGTTGATCACCGATTCACACATTTTAGAAGCAGAATAAGTATGAAAACGGCGACGACCACTTCTAAATTATGTGTTATTCACTAGTCCCGTTTTAACTAACATCCGACATTCTATGTTCCGACTTCCACTGCTCATTACCCACGCATGATCTGTGATCAGATTTTGAGCACGTGGTCTTAGGGATCAGCATTTGGGTGTAACGCTGGGAGAGTGGAGAGGCTACCGGCTGGATGCGTTATATTTAAGATTGATTAACCAATCTCCGTGTGATTCCTTAACCCAGATCGGTGGTGGTGGTGCATTTTATTACTGTTGATTGATTGTAAATGATTCCGGGCGCGTCAACTGCTAAAGTCATTAGTTGTGTAAATGTAGAGCATGTTCTTCCTCGGGTAATCTTCCCCCGCTGAATGGCAAGATTCGGCGCCGACCTACCGCCGGATAGCGGGGATTTCCCACCACCCCAGCCAGAACCCGCTCCATCCAGAACAAGCTCTTATCCCTTGACTAGTCTCGCTTCATGAATGGTAGTGTAGTGCATGTGCGTGTGTGTAGGTAAGGGATGATCGGATAAATCACGGAAAACTACCAATAAGAGCAGCCGGCCACTAGAATTTTCCTTCAGACAACTAAATTGGAACTAGCAGACAAGCTGGTATCGAAAATCCTGACACCGTCGGAACTCTAAACTAGAAGCTCCCGGTCAGATGTTCGTCTAACGTATCCGTTACGACACTGCGGCAAAAACTCTGCTTTAAAGGTATATACCAGCAGAAGACCTACTCAAGTGCCTTTGCACGGCATCACCTGCAACGCCTCTCTTAGATTCTTGGACATTCCGATTGTCAAACCGTGGCTTGGTCACATGAGCCCCGATTTCCGTTGGTAAGTGCTGATGGTAGGGTTCGAGTGAGGCGTAGACCCAACGAAGCTATGAACCCGACTGTAAGCCACTGAGCAAACTGATGGTAGCTCCGTAAGATATGGGCTGTTTTTTCATAGAATTGACAAATTCAGTTGACCCAGAGAACCCAGTCTTTGTCTAGAAATGGTTATGTCCAGCTACTGTGATATCAGTTGCAGCCATCAGACTATGTTGTCAAACAACAATTAATTATTTATGGATAACACTGCGCGATGTCACAAGGCTGCAAGGCTGCAAAGAACATTCTGGAAATTGTGAGCAAATGATTTCAACATCCATATCGTCCGAATGAATTCCATCAAACGTTTACGGGACACAATCGAGAGGTCGTTCGTGCACAAAACCCTGCACCGGAAACACATTCGTGATTATGAACATCAATAGAGATATTATGGCTCAACAATTCAGCAGACGACTTCCAAAGACTTGATTCCATGCCATGTCGAGTTGCTGCACTTTGCTGGGCCAAAAGAAGGACCGACCCGATTGTAGGAAGTATTCCATGACTTTTGTCACCTCAATGTAGCCTGGATTACAAAAGATGATTTGATAATATTTACAATGCACAAAAGTATTCTCGCGAGTAAAATACTATCCATATAAATGTAAATTGTTTGTCATGCAAAATAATTAACTGTCACGATTGCTGTCAGATCGTTCCCGAGGGCCAGGTGCTGTTCGGGCCGGGCTACGACGGGTCGGTGCGCTTCCGCCTGTGGCACCTGGGTGAGTGGGTGGAGGTGCGCGTGGACGACCGCCTGCCCGTCGATGCACACGGGGTGCCCGTGTACGCGCGCTGCCAGCACAAGGACGAGTTCTGGCTGCCCCTGCTCGAGAAGGCCTTTGCCAAGTGAGTCTCTTCCACCTTCATCACACTTAAGGCTAGGAGTTCCACAAGGACGAGTTCTGGCTGCCCCTGCTCGAGGCCTTCGCCAAGTGAGTCTCTACCACCTTCAATCACACTTAAGGCTAGGAGTTTCACAAGGACGAGTTCTGGCTGTGCCTACTCGAGAAGGCCTTCGCCAAGTGAGTCTCTTCCACCTTTAATCACACTTAAGGCTAGGAGTTCCATGAGGACGAGTTCTGACTGCCCCTGCTTGAGAAGGCCTTCGCCAAGTGAGTCTGGGCGGACAATTTTTGCTGGTTTAAAACACTTTTGCAAGTTTATTTAGTAGTCTAATAGAGTGGAGCAGTTGTAAATAGTATGGGGTGTTGTAGAACTATATGTTGTGAACTCTGAGGAAAAACTTTGATGACAAAATTTGTGGCTCCCTTTGAGAAAATATTAATTTTTAGAAATTGCTTGTATTTCAGATACAAATTACGCCAAACAAGTTCGGTTTTCCAAAAACATTCAGCATGAGAGTTTTTAAAGAGCTAATTTTTTATAACAGATTTTGTTTGAAGCAAAAATTCCTATCTTCAATTTTGTAGTTTTGAAAAATTAGCGTTTTGCAATTTTCGAAAAACGGAAAGATGAGAGAACATGAAAGTGGAGACGTATTTTAGTAGCCTCTTATTACTGTCTCGTATACGCGTACATCGTCTAGGTACTTAACATGAAGCCCCTTGACATTTTCAAAATTTCATCAAAAATGGCTCCAATTTTTTCTTTAAATATCTTGTAAGAATAGAGTAAATACATTTATAAAGGTGGTATTGATCTTTAAAAATTTCACAAATGTAATTTTTTTCTAATACCCCTCTCGCCTTTATTATGTTCATTTCCAGAAATTTGTAAACACTGTTGTATTTATGAGTTAAAGTGCTTCAAATGAAAGTTTTAGAAACTCAAAAGATTTCTGTGAAAATGAGTTTCAAATTTCGCATTTACAGTAAAACTTAAAAGCCATTTTCTTACAAACGACTCCAAACTTTTCAATAGAAATTGCCATTTAGTACAAGTTTTTACTCTACTTTAATATTTATTTCGTAATATTTCGGTTCTACTGTTAGAAAGCCGGAAAATTGAAAAAACGTTAAAAAATGTACTTTTGGTGGTGATAGATGGCAGCTGGCTAGAGTATGTGGCAAGTCCGAATAGCTAGTCCAGGCCAAAGAATATAGACAACTAATACGAGAAAGTCAGTGCCATTCTGTGACATCACTAGTTACTTATGAGAGGAGAATTTGAAGTAAACATTTGAAAAGGTTTTTGAGAAAATAATTGTTAAAAAACGTAACTCTATATTTCCCACAAAATTACACGAAAACTATTTTCGAAAAATTGAAAAGCAGTTCTGTAGAAACATAACGTTCTCTTCTTACGAAGAATCTACGTAAGGGCGAGAAAGTAAAAATGTACTGTTCATGCATAGATTCTTCGGTGGGCTATTGGTTTTAAATGTCATGTAAGTATAGTCATTTTGAAATATCACTAATCTCTTATTAACTTGTTTCATTTCAGATTTCACAAAAATTACATATTTTTGGATGAAAGATATGAATACTCCTTGGCTGAAGGTCTCATCAACCTCACAGGATATTGCATTGACTCGCCACGTCTCCACAAATGGAACGCAAATGCTGTGTTTGACTTACTGATGGGGTTTTCTGATAAAGACGCACTGATGCTTTGCAAAACAGATGTGAGTAGGGGTAACTGTGACACTAAAAATGTCACTCGTGTAATTTATATAGCCTGATTACTTTAAGCCTGTACTTATAAAATTTATTTTATTCTATAATGTCGTGACAGTTGCCTGGACCAGGCTTACCAGGATATCATGCCTACACCGTCACCAAGGTGTTTTATCACCCATTGGACAAGAGCAAATGTAGTGAATGCGAGGAAGAGTTGAGACTGGTTCGCGTGAGAAACCCGTGGGGCACCAGTGTGGAATGGAACGGCGCCTGGAAGGATGGGTAAATGTCTAGTATTTTATCATTATGAAATACACTGCTCCTTGCATATGGCGAAAAACATTCTTTAAGTGCTTTACACGTGCACAAGTGCTTATTGTGCTTTAATCTCTATTACATACTTCATCGTTTCCTTAATTTTTTTCCTAGCAAAATATCCGGAGTTGCCCGTTTTTTTCATATTCAATCCTTGTGAAAAGGAAAAAAGATCAAAAAGATATAAAACACGAGGATTAAGAATATTATTCGACACTTACCTAGCAACACTGTTTACTTAAGCACTCTCTCACAAATGCCCGCGCGCTGTCATCTGTTCCTGACACTTCCGCTTAAAATAGTCACTTCAAACATATTTGAAATACATTTTTTATTTGAAACGGCCAGTTTAAACCTTAATTAACACGGTAAGGGAGATGCTAGGCTGTCTATTGCTGAATAAATGAATTAAAAGCACACACAAAGCTGGCATCAGCTCTGATCGGCCCGTGTAATTGAAATAGTTGAAATGAAGCACTATTTTATCCTGCAGTGCCATTTAGGGGAATTACAACAAAATTAACATCTCATAAACCTTCTGGGTAGAAAAACATGTAAAGAATCATTGTAACGGGACTTGAGAGGCAAGCTCTTTCGATTTTTTCAATTTCTTGAACTCTTATACTGTAACGAAAGTATATTTCGTTTTTATAAGTTTACATTTCTCTAAAATGCCGCATCAATACGTCTATGTATTACTCAAAACTAAGTCAGCAGTCTTCAAGTTTCTTTCTTTACATCATATCACTACTCGTATTCTTAACGATAACAGCATCCTATTATTACATATTCAATTATCACTGTTTATGCTAATTCTTTAATTTCTCTATCTCAATTTTTTGCACTTTAAAAGTGTTTTTGGCATTAACTTTCTTTCACAAAATATTTTTCATAACCAATATATTTCAGTGACGAGCGATGGAATAAACTAAGCAAACAAATCAAGGACGCTATGGAGTACAAAGATGAAGATGATGGCGAGTTCTGGATGGATATTAAAGATTTCATAGCAAATTTCTCTGAAGTGTGCTGTGCAACGGAAAGACCTACTGAAGCCATGAATATGAAAATGGTAAGTGAAATCAGAGCATCTTTTGAAACCTCTGAGGGCCCCTGACGGATTCAAAAATTAAGGCCCCGAAAATACAGTTTACTTTTTCAATGCAAACCGGTTGCAAAAATGGAACCAGCATATTTTTTACCACCCTTTGCTAGTTTCATTAAAAAATAGGAGGCAGCGTTGAGAAAAATTTCGAAAATGTCGAGTATTCATGTAAAGTACCCCCAAAAAATAAAAATATCCGTTTCAACTCGCTGAGCCTCGAGTTCTTTCAGATCGATCAGAAATATTGATTTTGAAGAAAATCGTCTGAACGATTTAGTCGCAAGTGGTGACCACAGATAGACGGAAGGACAGACAGACACGTTTTGCGTCAATCCATTTTTCGATATCAAAGGGCCCACAATACCCTCCCAATACACAAACGAAAAACGTGGATTCTGTATACACGTGTTGAAGGAAGTAGTTTACTATATATGGGGACAAGATTTATCTACCATTTATGTACAAGATTTTTCGTTACCAAGGCCCGATACAATACGTGATCTTTCTGTCGAAAATTCGCCGATTTCCACTAAAGCATTACAATGATTTCTCTTTATTACTTACGAAGTAGGCGAGAAAGTAAGAAACGTAGTATACTTTTTGAAAGGCATGGTTACTGTATTGAATATTTTGAGGCCTCCTTAGCGAGCGAAATCCCGGCGGCCGCCAGTTTAAGAAGATGAGATGAGGCTTTTGTTGGACAGATCGGCCAGGTGACGGGGCACTGGAGCGAAGATGAAGAAAGCGGAGGGCATCCTGACGAAATGGAGAAGTTCGCCAAAAATCCGCAGTTTTTGATGGTTGCCTTAGGTGGCATCAGTCCCGGTGAGTGACCTTTGTAAGCGTTAATGAAGTTCACGTGCATTGGCTTCTTTAAGAAAACAATTTTTACCATGATTGTTTTAGCTTATATTAAACAAATTGCAAAAGTCACCTAAAAATGTATAGGTCAAATAATGAAAATAGAAATATTTTCCAGAAAATTGTCATCTAAGGGAAAGTAACACTGTTTGAAATTTTTGTCGGTTGCGATGTTTCAGAGGAGGAGGAAAAACTACAGAAGGAAAAGAAGAAGCCCATGAAGAAGACGGAGCAGAAGTACGACGAGGAGGAGAGTGGAGAGCAAGAAGAACCGTTCAACCCCTTGGCAGGGATGGAGGCCGTTGTGGAACTACTGCAAGAGCACAATCGCAAGAAGCGCACACACAAGTACGGGATCGCCTTCTTCATATTCGAGGTACGAGGCAATATCATCATTCCAAATGTATGTTTCGATTTTTCCAACAATGTTTAGTTGGTAAGCGCCCAAAGTCCCCCATATTAAGCAAAAAATAAATCCAATATTCTACTTCGAAATTGGAGAATTTGCGTTGTTGAGAGCTCCCAACTGTATCCTTATAGAGAGAGGTTACTGTAAGAAGGGACCGCTTTGCCAGCTTCTGGTTGGCTACTGCTGGCAGTGCTGCAGGTTTTGTCCTTGCACTCAATTCGTCCATGCGTGCGTTTACAGATAACTCATTTTTAAATGCATTCTTATCTCTAGCAATGCCATCACTCTAAATGGCGGTCATTTGTTTCCCAACTCGTCCAATTGCTCCCTTCTTAGAGTAACTCCGCAATTGCAGTTGTGGCAAACGACGCGGGTGCTTGAATGAAAATTGTAAAAGTTGGGTACTCTGATTGTTTCCATTATTTCTTGTGATTAATTTCATGCGAATGCCGGAGTAGTGGCATAACAAAGGGAAATGTTTCAATGGTTCGATCCTTCCTTATCTCTATTTTCACAGCCACTTTTATAGATCAACTCCCTTCCCAAAATGGCAGGTCCCACGTGATTTTCAAGAATTCAAGCAATATTGTAAAGACAGAACGCGGGTATTAGGGAAGGGCCCGACTTGTGCTGTAGAATTATCAGAGAGCGAGGGAAAGTGGTAAAGAAGGGGAGGACTTGAGTGCCAGAGAAAGTCGGAGAGAGGGTGGGGAGGTCTGGAGAGAGGGTAGGATGTAGGATAGAAGGTAGGAGAGTTGTTGCAGAGAGATTTAGTGCAGCAAGTGAAAGATGTAGAGCGAGTGAAGTCAGTGGGAAAGCAAATAGGAAAAAGCAGGAGAGCGAGTAGGAAAGAGCGGCAGAGTGAGTAGAAGGGAGTGCGAAAGCGGGTGGCAATTCGAGAGGGCGGTTAGTAGAGTGTGAGAACGAGTAGTAGAGAGAGAAGAATAGCGAGTAGGGGAGAGAGTGGGAGAGAGTGTAGCAGAGAGAGTGGGTGTGGTAGTAGGAGAGAATTGGGAGCGAGTACTTTGGGAGAGCGCGTAGCAGAATGAGTGAGCGAGTAGGAAAGAGGCGGGAGAGAATAAGCGAAAGAACATATGGGAGATAAGCAGGTGTGAATAGTGCGTGTGTCGTGCGTTTGCAGACGTGCGTGGAGCGGCGCCTGACGGCCGAGCAGCTGCTGCAGCTGACGTACGTGGCGGGCGCGGCGGAGCTGCGAAAAGAGAACGGCGTGCGCGCGGCCGTGCGCCTGCACCCGGGCCGGCGCTACGTCGTCATCCCGGCCACGGAGCGCGCGGGCCAGGAGAGCCACTTCCTGCTGCGCGTCTTCTCACGGCACGCGCGCGTGCGCCTCTCCCAGCTGCCGCCCTGAGGCCTCGCGGTGGCTTCCCGCTCTTCTACGACCACGTGTTCGATTTCTGGCGGAAGGCGACGGAACGGCGTGCCGATACTTTGGGAACAAAATAGGAAAAAACATACAAAAAGCACAGAAGAAACATTTGGGTACTTCGATTTTTAGTTCGACCAACTTCAGTAAACTCAAAATTAAATAATTTTCGACTTGACTATCACTTCTACGAACGTAATAAAATTAGTAAAAAACGATAAAATATCACTCACTTATAAACTATCTTTTTATTTCTATTATTATTAATATTATTATTACATTGTCATAGAGTGTCACAACAGATGTTAATTCTTATTAAGTATCATTTATAATTATTAAATCAGTATATTATGAATATGAAACTATTTCTACTAAATTAGTTAATCTGCAAGCGCGTTCGGGACCTAAACTTTTGTAAATCAAGCACTGCTTACATTAGTAGATTATATATTATTTAAGATTATTAGGTTACTAGTTGATTTCCCAGCGCTCCGCCCCCTTCCCTCGTTCCGAACATCCCTCCCGCTTGTGTTTACCGACGTGCGGCGGCAAGCCCCCGCGCAGGACCCAGAAGTTCTATTTCGTATTGCAGCGTGGTATTTATAAGACGAATGTGGTATCATTACGCATCCACGTGCAATAAGCGTCTCCACTTTGCTCAGGGAATATTTCTTGTAAGCATCAGGACTTTACAGACGAATCCTAACATTGAATACGAGAAGATAAGAAACAATGGAATTGTTAGTCATTTGTTTTTCTAAACCTTTAAAAATGAATAGTAATTAAATACACATAAAATAAATAAATAAAAATAAATGCAAATGAATATCCTCTCGTCGATTGTAAAAACATTAACTTGTTTAATAATGTAGATGTTTTAGTACTTTTAAACTGCCTAAAAGTTCCCAAAATGTTGTTTCGTTTACTAAAAAATGAAAAAAATGTGATAAAAACAGTTGTCTGATATTATTTTACTTGAAATAAGAATTTTGTTTGCAAGTTTTACTATTGCTTTCAAAATGACTGCAACAAACAATGAGAAATAATATTAAGACTGTTTAATTTAGATTATACTTAGTAAATAATACATGTTTTGCATTAAAAATATGAACCTATTGTTATTTTTTAGTTTTACAAATAAAAACATGAAAACCGTGAGAAGTGAATTAATTATTTTTAATTAATTATCCACAAATATTTACCTGGACTTCCACATTAATATTGTGACAGTGTTGGTTAATTAATTTTAATTTTAATCAGTCCCCTCACTTGGCGCAGATATTTGTAATGTCGACGTCACATGAATATGCAATAATTATTAACATTTTTACTCTAGTGGTGCTCCAACAGCACCGACTTTCTCGCATTGTTTCTAAATTTCCAAACATCGAAAATTCAGAAAGCTCAACGCAAAATAGTTCCACTGTTCCTATAAGCATCCCTACTTCTATCCATGAAAAATAATTAAAGAAAAATTTGGAGTTTTTGAGAAAAAAAGGTTTTTAATTGACTACATTTCCCACCATAATACACGAAAACTACTCATATTTTCGAAAAATGCAACAGGAACTTATTTAAAGATCCATCTTTCAGAAACAGATTTCATTAAGGGGTAAAATCTCACTTTCAATATTATAGTTGTAGGAAGATGCCAAAAAATTCACTTCTGCAATTTTCAGAAAATACGCTATGTCAACGAAGATGAGATCTGCACCATTCTCTTCCATGTCATTTTCGCTATCCAAAGTTTCATTAAAAAAATTGAGCAATTTTTGAGAATATTTTAACAATGTTTTTGAGGCTTCATATAAATTAGTACGCTCAAAAACCAAAATATCCGTTTGAAATTCCCAAAGTATCGAGTTTATTTATATCGTGCTGCCTTTGCGTTTTATGGAATTTGCGCCCCCCCCTCTCTTCGGGGTGCGGACTCTTAGCATTAGATAACTTTCCCTATACTACATGCGTAGTGTGCAAAAAACTGCTCTCTACAGGAGATTCCGTAACTCTTAAACAAAATTTAAGTGCACTTTTTTCTTTTTCGTGAATATCTCGAAAACGATGGTATATCAAACGTTTATGAAAATGCAATTTTTCCCTAAATCTATTTCTATAGCACAATAATAATTTCAGTTAGCTCTAAATTGTTATTACCAGTGTTACAACGGTAAGTAAAATTGCATATATTAACAGCTGCCCGAAGCCACGATAGTTTTAGTAACGTTTATCTTAAATCGATCAATTGGCAATGATCGGTGCTGAGCAAATTAGTTTTGACAATTTCAGTGAATTGTGGATTGATGATAATCATGATGAATCGATATGCTGTGATTACTGAAGATTTATTAGTGATTCCGGATGTGTCAACTGCTAAGGTTATTTCTTTCTCGGGAAAGTGTAGTGCATGTTTTTGTAGCAGGAGGAAGCGGTAATCTCCCCTCCTCCCTGGATGGCAAGAATTGGCGCCGAGGTACTTGTCTGCTTACGGGTCATGAGACCGCCCCAGCGGGGACACGCTCTAGGACCCTAGCTGTGCTCCCGGCATATGTGGTAATGTTATGTGCATGTAAATGAATATCTAACTGTGGGGTAGGAATACGACAGGAAGAGGAAGGAAAGATCGCGCAAGGCCCACAGCTCGATTGTTAGGGTACTGCTCGGGCATTCGCCTGGTGTTGATCGGAGAAACCACAGAAAACTACCGATGAGAGCATCCGGCCGCTAGAATTCTCCTTCAGACATCGCGCTGTTGAATTCGACGTAGCTCTCTAGCTAGTGTTGAAACTCCTGCCACCGTCGGGACTCCGACTTCCCGGTCAGAGGAAGCAGTGACATTAATTTATGCACTGACTAACCCTAATCGGGTGAGTCATCATTTCGACATCGCCTCCTTAGCCTCCGGCAATTCTTCACAAATCGAAGGCGCATTTGGGGAACTCTTTTTCCCTAATTGGCTCGTCACGCCATTTGCCTGGCGCTCTTCTCAGTTGCGCCCCGGGTGCCGCGTACGGAGGGGGTGCGGTCAAGTGGCCAAGGCCGCGATGGCCTGCGGCGCGTTCGATTCTTCTGCGCGTGCCGGGGGTGGCCGTGGCGGCCCGCACGCGCCCAGAGGACGTGTGACTCACGGCGCCGCCGCGCGGTTAGTCTTGCTTAATGACGATCCCTTCCTCATATACATAAATACGGCCCCTGGCCATATTAATGTAAACATTCTACATTTTCTACACTTCGCCAATCAGTAATTTCTGTCAGTACCAATGTTAGGTACTGATGTATTAGAAACGAACCTTTTGATAAACCTGACGTGCTGAAAAGGTTTCAAATTCTATTATTGCTTTATTTTTTTTAGTTTTTTATTTGTAGACGGGCTCTTTGATCTTCTTATCACAAAACAAACTGCACATTTAGCAAAAGATTCTTACACAAAAAGTTATTTTAAAAAACAAAAATATGTAACAAAAACGATACAATTAAGAAAATATGACATGAAACAAAAAAATATAGATAAACATACAAAAACAACTCACGCTTACGGTAAATAATACAATTATTCTACAAAATAATTATGCAGACTTTCACTCAGAAACAATTTTTGTTAACACGTATTCACGAAAGAGTTGCTATTACTGAAAAATATCAATTGAGATATTAACAAGTTTTACAATAAATAACAAGACGAAAGAGAAAAAACTATTAAATTTTGCATGTAGTCAAAATAATGTCCTGGGGCTATAAAATTGGAGTGTCTGTTGATGATTTCAAAATAAGTTACTGTTTATTATCTCACGTGTTTCATTAGATGATATACAAACTAATTAAATTGTTCGGTGTTCAGGTTTATTGCAATCTTAATAAAGATTTATACACGTGGCTTTGAAAACAAGTTGAAAGTTATTATCTGCGTGATATGTTGTAAATAATACCCTTAACCCACTTCTATACCCTTAGAGTAGAATGTGTGTCCTCGTTCAGTTTTTGGCGAGTTTTCCAAACAGAGAGTGGGAATTCATGAAAGTACATCAAAGGTTTCCTAAAGTCCATTTTCTACTAAATACTTCTTAATGTATTCCAATTATGTGTAGAGTAATTTAGTTTAATATTATTTCTGTAATTTGCCGAGAGTATATTAACAATACAATTGAAAGTTCTGTATCTTATAAACTAGCTCTGGTATCCTGCTTGGACCGGCTATTTATTAATCCTAATCATCTAAGAATACGAAAAGGATTGAATTATATGTATGTATTCTATATGCTCTGCTCCGCCCTGCCTTGCCCCGCCCGTGACACTTAAGTATCTATAGTATAAAAAATTGTTTAAAAAATTAATTCTGCCTAGAATTTCCAAAGGTAATTTCGTTAATCACTTGATCTTTGAAGGATGAAAAAACGTTCCGCAGGGTTAAATGCCTAATAACCCTTGCGGAGGTTTTTGCTGACCGTATTCTCTAAAGTCTCTGCCAGGAAATGAAAAAGGAGTATTTTTCATTCAAATGTATTTTTAACTTTCCTTATTGAGAATAAATTGATATTCATTTAACATTCAGTACGATCTGAGTTACGAAAGCTTAAGAATTGTCCGTGTTTCTGCTACATGGAACCAGTTCTTGCTAGTACTTAATTCATGAAAATTGTTACTTCCAAAAATATTGAAAATATGAGAAAAGAAAGCAGCAGTATTTTTATTACAGTTAATATACTCTTATTACTGTCATATCAAATGTCTATTACGGAAATTCAATAATTTATTACATACAATCCTAAACAAAATAATTCGGTATTTATTATGTAAAACGTAATAGCCAATGTCACCTGAAGATGATCCCAATATCTTTGGTTCGAAACGTTATGTTGTACTGTATATTATTTTAAAGTATTTATAAGATAGTACTAGCCAATAATCTCGCTGACAAAAAGTGATGCATCCAGAAGGAGTGGTCTAACATTATTCCATTTTGGTACCACATGCACACAATTGATGTGTCAGTAAATTA